TCTGGTCGGCTGCTGAGGGTAACGTGGGGTCTCCCCATCCACAGCCAACAGCAAAAATCGCACAGCAAATATCAAATATCGAATCAGTATCTGGGTTTATTTCCCCAGAGGAGCCCTGGCTTCTCAGTTTCAGGCTTCTCATTGCAACACACCTAAAAATTGAAGTTGAAAATGCTGTATTTTGCTTCTAAGCCTTGGAATAAGAACCAGCTCCTGTTTAAAAGTAGCCTGGATGTTACGGGATATCTATAAATCTATAATTTGCGTTGTTTGGGGAAGTGTTGGGCTCCTCTGTGGGTAAATCTTAAAATGCACCCAAAAAAAAAAAGAAAAAGAAAAAGAAATAGTGACAGTGGTTGTTATGTCTGGAAATCTGGGGAGGAAAATTAATTGCCTTGGAGTTAATCGGGTTCTTCAGTTTGAGTCTGGTGGACCTGCTAAGGTCAGCTCTGAGAATTAGGCTTTTAAATGGGGGTTTGGTGCAGTTGTTTGGGATTTTTTGGGGTTTTTTTTATTAAAAAGAACTGGAAGAAAATGGAATGCAGGAAAACCTCTGCATTTGTGTGATGGCCAGATTTGCCAAGAATTCGCTTCTGGGGCTGAAGGTTTAAATCTAATCCTTGTCCTAAGAGAAAACTAGACTTTTTTTTCCCCTGTTAAGTCATGTCTGGGGTTTTTTGGAGGCAGTGGTATTGCAGGTGGCTGTGTGATGCACAGTGGGCTGAGCTGTAAAATTCAGGAGCGGTCACCTGAAGTATGAAAGTTTAATTCACTTTACAGCTGTATTTTGTTATCTGTGGACAGATGGAATGCTCAGCTCATTCACAGTAAGGAGGGAGAAACAAGATTATGCCCAGGAAAGCCCAAAGTCCACAATTTCCACAAGGAATGTCATCCCTTGGCTCCCGTGGCCGAACACACTCGTGGGGCGAGTGCTGTGGGATTGAACTCCCACCTTCTCCCACCTCCCAGCTGGGACAGAAACAACTGAAATTCCGTGTGTTGAGGACTCCTTTGGAATAGCTGAGCCTGTGGCTGAGTGTTCCCGAGGTGCTCTCAGGGGAGAGAGGCTGAACTGAGAGGAATTCTCCCTGTTCCCCACAGCGTCAGCAGGTTGAGTCACTCCAGGACGTGGCCATGTTTTCCACCCCCAGGAAGTGAGGGAGAGTTGGATCCCACGGCCATGGCAGCAGATGAGAGGGATTACAACCTGACAGAGGAGCAGAAGGCTGTCAAGGCCAAATACCCTCCACTCTGTAAGAAATATGAATGTGAGTATTTACAATAATAAAAACTCGCTGCATATTTTGTATGTTTTATTATATATTTTATAAGTTTTGTATTTTATAATTTTATTACACATTTTATATATTTTATCTATCAGTTTATATATTTTATCTATTAGATATATTTTACATATTTTCAAAATAATTATATATATTTAAAATAATGACTTCCTGATCCAGTGTGTGTGTGTCACTGCAATCATGAGGGCACAGAAAATAGCAGGACACAGAGAGAAAGATCCCCAATTTCCTTTGTCACAGACAAATGCTTTTCTTGCTTTGGGTGCTAAAAAAATCATGGTAAAAATAAATTACTAAAGTGTCACCTTGAAAACTTTCCCTGGGTGTCATTGCCTCCAAAAAGCCCTTGACATGACTTATAGGGGATTTTTCTTTAGGGGAAAAAAAAGCCTAGCTTTCTCTTAGGACAAAGATTAGACTGAAACCTTCAGTCCTGGAAGCTCATGTGTGGCAGATCTGGCTGTCACACAAGTGCCAAGGTTGTCCTGTGTCCCTTTGCTTGCTGATTCTTTTAATAAAACAAACAAAAACCCCTAAAGAACTGTATCAAACATTTATCTCAGACCTGATCTCAGTAGTTGCAAATGTTCCTTCATAAATCCACCAGACACAAACCCAAGAATTCCAAGCCATTTCTTAGCAAGGCAGGACATTTTTCTACCTCTCTCATACAGGAAGAGACATTTAAGAGTGTGTTGGTCTTCTCTGTGGTGTTTTTACTCCTACATACTCTACTTAAAGATCATTATCTCTCCTTTCCCCACCCCTGGAATGGCTTCTAAGAGGATGTCAAGTGAGTGGGTGGCAGCCCAAGGGCCAACTTCAGGCAGGAGACCATTCCCTGTGTGTTTTCCATGTCTGTCTGGAGGGACTGTGCCTATTCCTCTGGTAGAATTTATATTTTTAGGAGGTGTTCAGATCTTTCTTTGATAGCAGAGCAGAGATACTGTGACATACTACAGTAGTCACACAGTTTCCATAACTGGGAGAGGTTTTATCTTTCTTTTTACATGCACTGGAATTTGTTTGCTTTAGAGACTGTTGTTGAGAATCCATTAACAGTGTGTGAACTCTCTGAACAGCATCAGGACAATCTTTTAGCTGAAGTGATCGTGGTGTGGCATTTATTTTGCATCCCAAATTAGTTCTGTTTCTGCCAAAATTTTGGGGTCATTTTGCATTTCTCTCATTCCTCTGAATAAATATAAATGTAAATCTCAATACATGGTAATCATGCTTTATTAGTAAAGTTTGCTTTCTGTTTTATACTACCCACTATGTTTTAAATTCTTCTCTTTGCCTAATGGGTGTTTTTGGGTGTGGACAGGTGTATTTCCTCACTGAGCTGGAAATATTTGCAAATCTCATCCTCTGCATGAATAATTCTCAGTCCTGCAGACTTCAGCATAAACTCTTTAGTCCTGGTTAAAGTTTCCTTTTTATTGCAGTTAACTTGTAGAAGCCTGTTGGGTTACAACAGCTAAACCCTGCACACAGAGCTGGACACAGAGGGCACTCACACAATCACATTAAACAGGGTTTTTTTTGTGCTTGGCAGAAATAATCCAAAATTCCCCCTGTGCTGAATTTCTCTAATATACTGCAGAGTTAGATTTGTCATGTCTGAGGATAAGTGCAAAAAGTTCTTGTTAGAGAATCAGATATCGACGTTATATTTTATATAATCCCTGTTTTTTAAATAATTTTGGTGGCATCATGGCTTTTCTCTTTTTCCTTCCCCTCAGATCTGGATCACACAGCAGATGTGCAGTAAGTGTTGGGCAGCTGGGATTTCTCACTGTGATAAACTCATTATTTCTTGCACTGCTGTAAGTCTGGAGTAACTGCCAAAGACTGGTTGTAGATGTAACACCTGGTGGAACTATGAAATGTCACTCACTGGGTGTTTTGGGGGTAAATTTTGCCTCTGCTTTTGGGAGAACACAGAATCATGTTCAGTTCCTTTTCTAATATTCCAGCAGTGCTTCTGACCAAGCCTCTGTGTTATTTGGAAATGTCTTTTGAAATCTCGTTTTCACCTCTTTTAAACCAAATTTCTTCTGCCCAGTTTGCTTGTGCAGCCATCAGTTAGCCATATCAAGGAAGAATTTCCTTGGTGGCTGTAAAACATTTATTTTCCATATTCTAAGAAGCTCTTCTCACAAACCCTTCTCTTTCTGGAAAGCAAGTTGGTTTTTTTTTGTTTGTTTGTTCATTCAGCTCCTCTGCATGAATTCTCCCATTCTCATTGTTCTGGTTGCTCCCCTGCAGGTTGCTTTGGGGTTATTTCTCTTTGTCCCATGTCCTTTTAGGCTCCATGCCTGGGGAGACACGTTGGAAGAGGCATTTGAGCAGTGTGTCATGGCCATGTTTGGCTACATGACAGACACAGAGACCGTGGAACCCGTGGATACAGTAGAGGTGGAGGCAGAAGGTGAGGCTGTGTTGGCTTTTCATGGGGGGAGTTATGAAACCTGAGGGGAAAAAGGTACCAAAAATCTGAATCTTTGCATGAGGTGGCACTGCACTTAATTAAAATATAATTAAACATCACTAATTTTAGTCTTCTAATAAGCTGAACATCTGATGGATGTCCTCTTAAAAAGTGTTTGGATGTTCTTGCTGAGGCAACAACTGACATCTCTGCTTCAACCACGCAGGGCACGACTTGTTGTCTCTCCTCTTCCACCTCCTGGATGAGTGGCTGTATAAATTCAGTGCTAATGAGTTCTTTGTACCCAGGGTAAGTGTCCTGGTTTGATCCTTTTCCATCTGTAGGACAAGGTTGTTCCCTGATAATACCAGCTCTGAAAGAAATGGTGTTTTAGGAAAAAAAAAAAGGAACATGACAAATATAAGGCCAGGCTGGACAGGGCTTGGAGCAACCTGGGCTAGTGGAAGGTGTCCCTGCCCAAGGCAGGGGGTGGGACTGGATGAGCTTTAAGGTCCCTTCCAACCCAAACTGCTCCACAATTCTCTATTTCAGCACAACATGTGGGGAATTGGAACTCCCAGGGCAGAAAAACTCGAGAAATCATTAAGCTTTGTTACCACAAACACCAATTATTAGCTGCTGTTACACCTTCTGCTGCCTTGGTGTTCCAAGTAGCAGTGTATGTCAGGTTCTCTGGTTTTACATTCCACCTAAACAGTGAAATATGAGCCTTACAAGTGGGGCTTGCTGACATTTTCTGCCTGAAGGTGGGAGATGTGACTGAAATATTTCTCCTCTCCCTTTTTCTGCAGGAGGTGAAAGTGCTTCACATCGACCGAATGCACTTCAAAATAAGATCAATTGGGTGAGCTTAAACCATCATCTAAAAAGTGGAGGATGGACTTTTTTTCTTTTTTTTTTCCTGCTTTTGAGGCTCTAAATGAAAATCTCACTGCTCTATACCCATCAGTGAAACTAATTATCGCATTTGGTAAACACTACCAAAGTTCCAACCTCCCTTCTTTTTGCTTTTAAAGGTGGGGAGAAGAATTCTCTTTAGGCAAACACCCACAGGTATGCAGTGGTTCCTCTGTCCATCTTTTCCATTTAGGAGGGGGAGGTGTGGTGTCTTTTAAATCAGAATCCTCCAAGGATCCAAGTACAAACATGACTGGGTGGAATCACAGGCGCTAAACTTTTGTTGTTTGGTTTTTTTTGTGAATGTGTTCCTTAAACTGTTGACCTGAGCCTGACTTCTCCTCAGCACTAGCAAAACTCAACAGTTGGCTTTGCTTTTGTGATGCTGATAACACAGAAAACCAACCATTATTCAGAATGTGCACGTGGGTTTGGGTTTCACACTATTGGCACAGCCTTTGGCTTAGTCAGTTTTTGCTTCTTTCTTCTTTTTTCCCCCCTAAAGAACTGCCAGAAGCAAATCCTGATCTCCTGCCAGCTCTTTAGCTGTGTCAGTTTTAGCACAGCACGTGGGGATGGTCTGTCAGAGGCAAGAGGAGGGATTTGTGGCATTAAGAGGCAGTAAAATAAGAGAAGAGCTCCTTTTTTTTTTTAACAGCATGGCATTTTTCTTACTAGTCAGTTTTTTGGGGGAGAAGATCTATGAAACTGGATAGCATTTGAGGGAAGTGGTAAGAACTGTGTGTTAGGAACTGTGACAAAGGAGATCATTTAGAAAATCCCTGGGTTTGTGTCTCTTTTCCAGGGCACAGAGGTCAAAGCCATCACTTACTCAGCGATGCAGATCTGTGAGGATGAAAAGCCAGAAGTCTTTGTCATCATTGATATTTAAAGCAAGAAAAGTGTGGCCAAGTGGATATTACGGGCTGGCAAAAGTCCCCTAAAACTGTAATCCCCGTGAAAGTAACCAAGGAATTGGGCAGTTAAAATCATAAATTGAAGGCAGTAACTGCAGGGAATGTCAGCCAGTGTTTTCATGTGAAGATGGTGAGACAGAAAATAAAAAGAACTAGTTGGGATTTTGGGGGATGTTGAGAAGAAGAGATCTGTAGGAGTTGGAAATCTCCCAGGAATGCTGGTAGTCAGCTTTTAAGGCTGGTACATATGTATGAAATACAGAAATTAGTGGAGGTCCTAACTAAAATGCTGCCTTTTTGTAGGGTGGCAGGAGAAAATGTTCATCTACGTGATGTCCTTTGCAGATTTCACTGTTCTAATTCTGAGCTGACATCCCTCCTTCATCTTATACAAATCCCAAATAGCTGCAGTGGCTCAGATTTAATGTGGAAAAAAATCTGACTGTTGAAAAGACACCTAAAAAAAAAAATTAAACCAATTAAAAAAACCAAACCACCACACCTTTAAAAGTACTCAAAACCAAAAGTCGTGCCAGCAGGTGGTGCTGAATTGCTGTAAATAAATCTCCACCTGAAATCCTAAAGCATGTGACCACGTGCCTGGAATCCTCATATCACCTCTGATCCCCCTGAAAAGTTGGCAGCTCTGCCAGGAGCTGCACCAGGTTGGAAAGGGGTGGCCCAGGCTCTCTGCAGCTTCACTCCCAACTGTGTCTTGTAAAAAAGGATTCTCTTTATAAAAGCAGATGGTTTGGATCACCCTTTAGAAAGGACAAGGAAGACAGTCCTTTAATGTCAAAGGATTATGGGCTTCACTGAATCCAGATTAATCAAGGATAATGGAAAGTGTGTTTTGTCTTAAATCACAGGTTGGCAAAGGTGTGTTACCTGCCATTGCTATTTAAATGCTGGGAGCACAGCCCTGACCTGTTATTGTGAATGCCTCACGTGCCTCAGCTCTGGAGGTAATGTCTTCCCTTGCAAAGTCAGCTTAAATAGATCTGGTTTTATTTCCATATAAAGACTGAGGGATAAAAACCCCTCTTGTTTTTTAAGCCTGCCGAAATAAAACTCGGACTGAAAGGATCCGTGGATTTGTGTGTGATTTCTGGCCAGCCAGTCCAGACACTTGTACTTTGCTCCCTGCTGAGGTGAGTGGACTCTTTTCTGAGGGCATCAGTGGGGCTGTGGGGAGGTGGGTGAGGGGCTGAGGGCAGCGCTGGGGCAGCCTTGCCTTTTGTCCAGCTCTCTAAAAGGCGAGGAAAAAAATGAACAGAGTTAAATTTTAACTTTGGAGACCAATGCTGAGATGCCCCGTGTGTCTCTGGCTGCAGCAAGTGAAGTGCTCTGCTTTTTCAAGTGCTGGCAGGAACTTGCTAGAAAAACATTTGGAATGAACTAAGTAAGTGTTACTCATCTGTTTCTTTTTCAGTATTTATTAAGTGCTTGCTGCAAAACAGGCCTCAAATCCGCCCTGTTCCATTTGCAGGGGCAGGTTTTAGCTCACAGTGTTGTTCTCCTTGGCTGCAGCCTCTCACCGAGCTGGGGACCCACTGAGACAATTAACTGGGTAATTAAAAAACATGCTCAGACTGCAAACCCTTCTAGGGGTACCAAAGGATGCTGTTCATGGAGGAAGGTTAGATGAGTTTAAGGGCAGAGTGGTGAAGTACTTGGAAAAGACCTGCATTGGTGGTTCCTAAAGGTACAAATCCCAAGGCAAGGAAAACCCTTAAACTGAAAAAGGCTGGAGTTTGGGAGAGTTGGGGAATTGTTATGCAGGCTCACCCCATTCTCCTGGTTTAATGGCAACTCTTGGAGAACCTGGATGTGAATCAATAGGCCTGTTCTCAGATTCCCTGCAGGGAATTTTCACTTGCTTGGCAGTAACCTCAGGCTACAGATGCTGCTACCAGGAAAGGAAAACACGGCACCAGGCGAGACATGAGACCAAACAGTGGCTCTTTATCAACAGTACCCACTGGGAGTGCCATTCTCTGCTCCCAGGCAGAATGTTTGTACTGTACACTCCCCCTGAGATGTATTTTTTCTAATCATTTCACCTCTGAGCATTTTCAGTTTCTCTACCAAGTGCAGGTTCTCTGATCCAAATGACTGGGGGGGAAAAAACACCGTTGGTAAAAAAGCTGAGGAGGCTCCAGAATTACAAAGGTTGCTTTGCCTCTGAGGGATTTTGTCCTTAGAAACAAATGTTTTTTATGCTGTCAAGCATCCTAAATTTGTATGAGCAGGAAAACCTTTCTTGAAATAGCTCCGTGATCTAAGCCACAACTGTCCCACTGAAATTAAACTTGGCATCTTTATTCCTAGAATAAGATAGAACAGGAGTTTAAGGAAATCTTGCACCAGTCCTGAAAAAAAAAAATAATTAAGGAAAAAACCTGACAAGGTACTTCCAGTGATTGCACTTTTATTTCCTTGGAACCACGTTGGTGTATCTTTCTATAAAATTCACAGTACAAAAGAGGCAAAGTCATACTACCCAAGTGCACTACATATGCTCTGGTCACTACTCTACTCTGGCTGTGGGAATTCTTTAATCATGCTTTTCTCAACTCTAAGAAGCAGTTAAGTTCACTCAAAAAAAAAAAAAACCAACAAAAAAACCCCAAAAAACCAAAGATCTGGTCAATAAGTTCTTCAGCAGGAAGAATTCCACTTGTTTCCTTTGCTCCTTTCTTAGGAAGTTTTTGAAGTGTATGTACAATTTAATTACAATGCCAGTAAGACTTTCTCAAAGCAAGTTTGCAGTCTTTGCTTTGTAAAAAATCTGTATCATACAGAACCTCTGTAGAACTGTAGGTTGGTTCCCACTTTCACTGTGAGCAGGAGCTCAGGGCAAGTCCTTGATGAAATATAAACCAATTCTTCTAAATAGTTTTCCAGATAATAAGTGAGGAGATGAACTGTGATGATCCTTCTGGGTCCCTTCCAACTCAGGATATCTTATGATTCTCAGTACTTTCTGGATGATATTTAGAAGCAGTTACACTGTTCCATGTCTGCAAGTACAAAACAACTTTGTTTTAGCCCAAATTTTGCTTCTCAAAATAGAATTTCAGCAACACTTCATTTCAATTCAAGTAGCAAACCAGCATTTAGTTGGTAGGACACGAGCAATTTAACCTCAAATACAACAAGTAACAAGTACACAAATATCTACCTAAGATTTGGTTTCACCTTTTCCTCTACCTCATCTGGAACATCATCATTAGTGTGTCGGACAACCAAATTATAGGGCTCCTCCTCCGCTGTCTCTTCATCTGATTTCTGCTCCTCCTCCTCCTCCTCCTCCTCCAGAGCCCATTTGGGGCGTTTGTTCCCCGCGGAGGAGGAGACAAGGGAATGTCCTGCATCGAAATCCTCGGGGGTGCTGCTGTCGAAACTGGCTTCTGCCAAGCACTTGTGGCACAGTCTGTAGCGCCGCGTCCCTTGCTGGACCACGCAGCCCGTCAGCTCCGTGACTTGGCGCTTGCACTTCCTGCAGATCAGTTTGCCCGCCTGGTGGATCTGGAGAGGGATCCGGAAAAAAAAAAAAGGACATTTTAACAAAATTTTAAACACGATCTGCCAAGTTAAATGATGAATAATTAAGGTGGACGACGCGCAGGTTCGAGGAAGCTTTCGGGGTGCCGGCGCTGGAAAGGCCCGGACGGCTCGTACCGGCGGCCCCTCCGTGGGTTTATCTCCTGGGATGTGTCCCAGCGGGAAGGCCGGACCGTACCGTTTGGAAGTGGTTGCGCAGGTGCTCCAGGCGGGTGAACCTCTTCCCGCAGGCCTCGCAGGGGTACGGCCGCTCCCCGGTGTGGCACCGCAGGTGCCGCTTCAGGTCCGCGCGGCGCTTGACGGTGTGAGTGCAGAACGGGCACTTGAACCTCATGCGGGGCAGGTCACCTGCCAGGAGGGGCACAGGGGAGGGCTGTCAGCTCGGAAAGGGGCAGTTCCTGCTCCGGCAGCAAATAGGGAAAACCCCCAAATATTTTATATAAACGTATTATGTGTTGTCAGAGTCATTAACTCGGTTGGTTGGTTGGAACTATTAGCAGTGCTAATAGTGCCAAGGCTGTGGGTTTGATCCCCACATGGACCACTGATGATCCTTGTGGGTCCCTTCCCACTCAGAATATTATGTGACATT